AAATATTTTGGGTTGGAATGTATTTATTAATTTGTGCATTTAACATAATGACTTTTGAAGTGATTTCTCTAACATTGTTAGATAACTTGAAGACATTTATATTAGATAATCTCTATATTTTACTTTTCATATTTTTTATCTATATTTCTTGTAGTATATTATTAATTATCTTTTATAACATATTATCAGTACGAGACTTCAATTTCATTTCATCAGCCACTCCAAGAAATAAGATTTGAAGATCTGATTTGAATTTTATTTTCAATAATCAATTCAAGAATAGAAAGTGAGGTATGTTTTTTATTAGCAAATCTCTATCTACTTTATTTATGCCACTTGTCTTATAATATTGTTTCAAAATTAAAGTTGTCAATATGGGCTAGCCCACCCCATCCGGGCTAATTCATATACGTTTTGACATTTTACGGGTCAGACCGGGCTAGCCCACTTTTAGTGTGAGACCGAAAATGGTCGGCCCAGCCCACAAGTACATGGGCTACAGGTTTGCCGGGCCAACCCACTTTTTAAAAAATTATATTTTTTTATAATTATTAAATTAAATTATAAATTATAATTTAAAAATATTATCATAAATATCGACAAAACAATATTACATTATGTTAGGCCTCATTTGTTTTGAATCTTAATCATCCAGATTTGCCTCATGTATTTGTATTTAAAAACTGGATCTTAATTATTCAAATTCAATTCATTAAGTTCGTTTGTTTTATTTTTTTATAAACCTTTTAATTGGTCTGGATATATCTGAATGAATCAGATCTGTAACACACTCTTAACACTATTCAGACTAAAAAATAAATAAGACTCCTATCTTAATTCAACTAAATCACAACAACTCATAAAAGTTGTTTTCTTATTTAATTAATATTTAATTACATGCTTGCCATTATAATTTTCTTTATTCATATTAACTTAATATACATCTTTTACTTTCATAAATTAATCAATATATTTGAATTGATAAGCACTCTCATGATATAATATTTAGCACCGTTTCAAAAAATAAGAAAGTATTAGTTATTTGATGGGAAAATACCCAAGTACCCCCTCAACCTATGCCCGAAATCCCAGAGACATACTTATACTATACTAAGGTCCTATTACCCCCTGAACTTATTTTAAATGTAATTTTCTACCCCTTTTTAGCCTACGTGGCACTAGTTCGGAAAAAAGTCAACCATTGTTGGGCCCACAAGATAGTGCCACGTAAGCTAAATAAGGGTAAAAAATTATTAATAAAATAAGTTCAGGGGTTAATAAGACCTTAGTATAGTATAAGTGTGTCTCTGAGATTTCGGGCATAGGTTGAGGGGTACTTGGGCATTATCCCGTTATTTGATTGATAACAACAATAAATTTCTATAATAAAATAAAATAAAATATTTTTCTAAACTATATATTTACTACTCTATATAAACTATTTTAAATTACATTATATTAGATTCTCAAAGTATTTTGAGTGCAAAAAATAGTTATATTAATGATGTAACTTGATGTAGAGTTTTTAAAAGATAAATCATATTACCTTGTTACGGTAAAAAATGAACAAAATATTACTTTATATGAAAAAAAAAACTATTTTACTAACAAGGTTTTGATAATATTTTATTGATATAATGTTTAATTTCATATGTGCATTCATATATTGAAAACAAACCGTCCCAATAATTTAGTGTTCAGATTCAGAGACACTATTTTAATATTCAGATGTTTATTCAAATTTACACATCTAGATCTTAATGCACATCTTAATATTTAAGCGCGTATTCACATTCGAACGTCTTAATCTTAATGGAAACAAATGAGACCTTAATGTCACTACTTGTTAATCAAATTCATAAATAAAATTATCTTTATAGTATTTAGGGAAAATGCACAAGTACCTCCAAGACTATGACCGAAATCACAAAAACACACCGTATTAAGGTCGTATTGCCCCCCTGAATTATTTTTTTTTTGTAATTTTGTGTACCTTTTTAGCCTACGTGACATCCAAATATCTCTGACGCGCCTCAATTGCATGGAGTCACATAGAGTACCACATAAGACAAAAGGTGTATAAATTTTTTTTAAAAAAAAGTTCAGGGGTAATAGGATCTTAGTTTAGTTAAAGTGTGTCTCTGGGATTTAGGTTATAGTCTAGGGGGTACTTGTGCATTTTCTTGATATTTATTAAAAAAAATTTCAACTAAAAGTATAAATATGTAAATAGAAATATTAAACTAATTGTTTTGATTTTGGACTCTCTTTATTTTTAAATTTTAATATTATATTATATTTTTAATTAATTTTTATTGGCCCACGGGTCGGCCCTACCGATATTTCTCAAGCCCCCAAATGAGCATGCTTATTCAGGTCGGGTTAAAAAGCCCTTTTCTTAAATGGGTTCCAAAAATCTTAGTCCAGCCCTATTAAATCCCGGAATAGGCCAGACCGGCCCAACGAACCTAGACCATATTGACGGCTCTATTCAAAATGATAAGTTTTTGGAAGGTTTGCTTATTTTTTGATATTGTAGTTAGCATATATATGTTTATCTTATCTTACCTACTATATATATATATACACACACATTTGTTTAATTTATCTTTATTTATTCTAATTATCGAAGCACAATATGAAAAGTAATGTAAGCCTTCTGTTATTCCTTGGCTTAACATCATATCTCGGTCTTAAATTGATTTAGACTATCCTTATTTAAAAAATAAATAAATTGTTCATTGATGGCAAAACATTATATGAAATCGATCATCAAATAGTGCATATTGTAATAGCAGTAGAAATGTGATTTCTACATGGATCATAAATACTTGATAATGCTTTTAAAGACTAAAGGATAAGTTTTATTGTATTTAAGGGGATAATATATTGATTTAAATTACGATGTGCTATGATGATAATATATTAAATTTATGGCTTAACACACTTTTATATGAACAAGATATTGAGTATGAATTTCAATACACCATAGTAATTATATAATATGACTAAGGTAAAAATAGTGTACTTTTTTTAAATGAAAAATCATAAAATTCGTCATACTGGAATTGCTTCGTTCTCGAAAACAAATGTGATAGCAGCACATGTTAAATTTTAAATTTGCCCAATTAATTACTTCATTCCATTGTATGAATATAGTAATAGTAAATAATAAGCGTGAAAGAAGGCAAGTAACTATATATATTAATATTGGTAGTTACTCCCCGGTTACATTTTAGATGTATTTTGGATTTCAAAAGTCAAACAAGTTTATATTTGATCGTAAATTTTTCATTATTAAAATTTTGAATTATCAATTTTTATGACTCATAATACTTTTTACGTAGTTAATAAATATATAAATTTTATTTAAAAAAATTGAAGATTCCATGCGTAAATTTTTTATCAAACTTACGCTGTTTGACTTTCAAAACATAGAATGTATTATATAAATTAAAACAAAAGGAGTATAAAAGAAGAAATTATGGGTTCCCAAAATAGTCTTTCAAAAGGTGAAAGTAATATTCTATCATTATTTGATTTAAAAGGTATTGAGCATGTGTTTGTCGTTCTATCTATTTATGATAAGTCTTTTTTTATTATTATAAATATTCCATAAAAATTAAGAGGATATAATACACAAATATGTCCTTAAACTTGGTTTCAACTGTCATATATGTACTTCAACTTTGCGTATACACAAATAAACACTTAAACTTGTATGAAATTGAATAAATAGATACACACGTCTTAAATGACAATTTTATGTCCAATGTAACATCGTACATATATTTTGTCACGTAGACATGTATTTTTACTTATTTAATTTTATATAAATTTAAATATCTACTTGATTTTACCAACATGCATATTATACTTGAACTCTTACAACTTGAACACACTCATATTTAGTTGTTTAATTACTCTCTCTTTAAAAACACTAGCAAGAACTTTAGAGTTACAGTAGTAATTTCTAGTAGCATCTACTCTCTTCTTCAACATTTTTTTAATAAAGTTTTTTTTTTTCCTTTTCTCTTATCATTGAGTTATAGAAGCAGTTATGGATTTAGTGTAACCCAAACCACAAAATTAACATGGTATGAATCGTAACTGGGATCGCTATTCATCCTTCAGCAGCTTGATCGTGTTCTTCAAAAATGCCGGAGTTGCAATCAGAAACAATAGTTGGTGATCAACAATCTCAATCAATTGCTGAAAAAATAAACAACACTTATCCGTTGTTTGTTCACCAATCTGATACTCCTTGATCGGTGCTTATTCCGACGATCGGAAAACTATGAGTTGTGGCGTAGATCCATGACAATTGCGCTGCAAGCTAAGTGAAATTTAGGGTTTGTTACAGGATCTTGTCGAAAGGATCAATTCAGTAGTGAAGATTGGGAAACATGTAATGCAATTGTGTCATAATGGATCATGAACAATTGTGTTATAATGGATCTAGTTTGCGGTTTGATAAAGTAAAAATAAGTTCAAATTTTTTAATTACACAGGGAAATTGCTACACCATCGCAGGGCACAAATTCTATTGCAGTGTATTTTACCAAATTGAGGGAGCTATGGGCTTAATACGATGCTTTAGTTCCTAATCAAAGGAATACATTGAGCATTTGCAAAGGCAAAGGTTGCTTTAATTTCTCAGTGGTCTAAATGAATCATATGAACAGGTACGTCGACATTCAAAAGGAAAAAGCGACATTCTTTTTTATCGGTTTAAGAAGAAAAGTCTGGACAAATAAATTGAAATAAAAAGGTTATATACAGTAAAATCTCATTAATACTCGGTTAATTAATAATTTCTCTAAGATAATAATTTTCTCTTGTTCAAGCTTGGGCCAATGGAAAAAATCTCTCATTTCAATAAGATAATATATTTTTAGAAGGCCCTATATAAAATATGGTCTCATTAATATTATAAATTAATAATTTTTTAGTAGTATAAATCATATCTAAGAAAATTTAATGAAATATGATTCTATTATGTAAAAAATAGAATTTTTTTAATAATGAAACTTTAAAAAATTGAAAATATTTTTAAAAACAAACTTAAAATATTTTGGGGTGGAAAGGGGGGTAAAAAATAAAAAATAAAATAAAATTAGAAATATCTTGTAAGAACAACTTTAATGTTTGGGGTGGTAGTAGGAGGTAAAAAAATTGAAGTTGAAAACATTTTTAAAGAAACGAACTTTAATTTCTTTTTTTAATGGGGGCTGATTTGAGGATAGGGACAAAATAAATTGATTTTTTCAATCAAATGAAAATTGTAACTTGAAGTTCGAAGTGACTTTTGAAATTAAATTTTCTTAAGTTTTGAATGGAAGTCATTTTCCTAAATTTGAAAAAAAAAATGAGTTTTTGAAAAACATTTAACCCAACCAAACATTAGAAAATTGAAAAAATATTTTCATTCGTACCAAACACAGTCAAAGAGTGGACAGAGGGGGAGCGAGAGAAGATTGAGAGTAGATATGCATTATCTTCCTTCTCATAAAGGATCTTTTCTTAACCCTAAATTGAACTAACTCCTGATGAACATCACTTACATATTGATCATCTTTAAGTAGTTCACTATTTTCATAATCACCACTCTCTTTAGTTGACTCTCAGATCCTTTTATAGAATATTCACTATCTTCAGAATATTATTTTAACATTAGTAATTGATGAGGTTCTAAATTATATATATTTTTTGAAGACATCAATTAAATATTAATAACTTTAAAATATAATAGAATTATAAAAAAAAACAAGTAAAAAGGGGAATTTAATTAGGAAATGGTAGGTTTTAGGGATATTTGGGAAAGAAAGAAATTAGGTGACAGGAGAATTCAGAATTCAAATTGGATTGAGAATAAGCTTTCTGTTAAAAACGACTATGGCGAACGAAGGGACGACTGTGGCGAACGAAGGGACGACTGTGGCGATAAAGGGAACTGAGATAAAAGCTAAGGTAAGGGTTTTCTTTCGGAACGAGAAGCTAACTCGGAATCAGATTTCAGAATCGGAAGGGCTGTGCGTCATTATTATTCGGAGGAGCTACAAGTGGCTTCATGAGTGTCCACGTATAGTTTGCTACCCTCAGGCCAGCCGTTGGTATGATACCTATAGCTCTACCGTCATCCCGTTTGATCTGTCCAGGCTACTCAACAAGGATCCATCCTTGTTTTCCATGATTCTATCTGCTACTCTTCAATTTAATCCCGAAGACATCATACAAATATCTAATGAAATTTCGCCTGTTTTCTAAACCACAACCACGACCTCCCTACGTGATTGCCCTTGAAATCTCCCAATTTGATATCGTCGGTTTTTCATCGTATTATTCTGTTCCACCTTTTCCCCCTATCCCCGCTTTCTCTAGGTTTGTCAAGGACTGGGATGATGAAGAGGAGCTTCTCACTGCTGTTCGAAGTCTCTCTACCACTGATTACATCAATGATCCATATCACAAGTACTTGGGTGATGTGCTCGAGTATATCCATGCGTTAAGGGAATATACTGGTGAAGGTGGAATTTGCCCAGCCAAACCACCCATTGCAGAAGATTTACCAAAAGGACTCAACGAAATCGGCTGCTCTCCATCTCCGACTCCCGTATTCAATGACTATAGTAGAGATTTGATGGATGACACTTGCCCTGTTTGCTATGAATATTTCAAAGACGAGAATGAGGTGATAACAACTAATTGTTTGCATGAATTTCATATTCACTGTATGATAAAATGGCTATCAATGCATAACACATGTCCAACTTGTAGAGCTGATTATCCTTTGCATTATTCACCCCTTTCCAACTGCCGTAAGCGTCCTCACCACAACATTTTGGAAGAGCCAGCATATTGGAGGAGCTAGTTAACATGTTAGAGAATGTGTCTTTTTCTTTGTATACTGATTGCGCATTATTTGCTTCTTTTGGTATATCATCAAATATCAATTCAATTTGAAAACCAAGTAACTCACCGTCAAAAATGCTAAACATACTCTTCAATCCATTACTACTACTCCCTGCTAGTATTTCTTTTCTTTTAATTTCTTCAATTTTGTCAAGTTATACAAATTCCATTCTATTAAATTATGCACCACTGCTGATATTTGCATGATTTATTAAAGAGAAGACGATGCACTACGAGAACAGGAGTGAAACAATGATAAAAGTCGATGTCCAGAGGGATCTCATAGAGGGAGCTAGTGTGCCAGGCTGCCATTTAAAGGTGAGGACTTTGTTAAAAGGACACAATTTCCAGAATTTGCTAGAGGATATCATATATCCTTTAGCAATAAGTATTGTCATTTCTATTCTGTTGCTATTATAATATCACCCTCTTCTTCTCTCTCTTTCTCGGTCTATTTGAGCAGTTTCCAGATTCCATTGCTCTTCTTTCCTTCTCTCTGTGTCTCAATGTCATCTCAACCGGCTTAGTTCGATTGTTGGTGCTAAAGGTGAGCCTCAAATTTATAAATCTGCATTAGTCATTAAAAAAGAGTAGTCACTTCACTCGCGATGTTTTTATATAGTGTAGCTGTATATCTGCTCATGCCATTGGTGTAAAAAGAAGAAGAGTAGTCACTTCACTCGTGATGTTTTTATATAGTGTAGCTTTATATCTGTTCATGGTTCTGAATTCTAGCGTTTATACATTGTAGCTGAGTGACAGTTTCGAGTATTTGTTGTTCAAGTAACTTGAGTATGGGATGTCAGTTAGCAAGTGACTGTGTGCAAAAAAGTAATGAAGATGGTGGAACATCTCAAAGATGTGCTTGGGGAAATTTTCAGCTTAAAAAAGGCATCTCTAATGTAGTCATCGAATATGGACGTTCGAGATGGAGAGGGGTATGTGTTGCTTAAGTCGTAAATCTGCAGCAATACAAGAAGTCCCACATTGGGTAAAACATTCCATAACAAAGGCGATTTTGTAGTCAGAAACTCCTAGTTAAGAATGAAGGAGTATTTACCAAAAAGTGTTTGTTTTTTTTTGGTTTTATTATCTGTTTTTAATTTTCATACCCTCAATTTTCTAGTACTTTGTTAGGGGTATACAAAATGGCTTTAACCAATAAATATCAAATTGAAAATATTTATCGATGTTTTTTTATATTTGATTTAATGGTTATATCGACTCGTTTACTGGTTCTCAAGTTTTAGTTAATGATTAGATAAAACTAATCTTTTTATCCCTAGTTATATAGTAGTGGTTTTAGATTTTAAATGCAAATCCTATTTTATTTAGCATTTTATATAATCGTTGTCTTTGGTGTTGTTGGCTTGTTGAAATTCTATCTACCCTATTGTTCTTTTTAAAAGTACTTGTGTTATAGAGGTTTGATACTCAACCAAAAGAACATAAAGCAAAAATGAAGAAGTAAAAATAGAGGAGCATTTTCTTATCCGTTGAACCAATCAAACCATTAAAAACCAAATATCGATTAAATCAAAAATTCATAACAAATATTTTACTAGTTTGGTTATCAATTTAGTATATTTACAAATCGAAAATCAAAGATAATAGACGAAACAAGACCGAACTAATCGATATCCGTCACAATAATCCAGCTGAGGTTCCTTGCGCTTCCTTTCTCAAATGTGTTGGCAAGACATCTTTTTCTATTCGACTCAAAGCACCCAGGTTAAACTACCAAGTGACAACCTTGAGCAATCTTATCAAAAAAATAAAAATACTTCCTTTAACTACGAATGTCATTAAAGCTTATAACTTTGATGATAAGCTCATGGCAAAAAGTAAAATGCTACAAGAACGAAATAATTGCACAACTGGCCAAGCAAGAAATGTAAGTTCAATTTGAGAAACCAAGATGGAATGTTGAATGAGGTGGTTAGACTCTGAACTGCAAAATCGACTCTTACCATGCCATCTATCTACTTAAAGCTCCAATAATCTAACAACATCAACACGCTTGAAAGCCCACGCAGATCATAGCTTCAGCTTCTTTTTAGGTTTTTTGGCCATTCCATTGGAAGACTCCTCCAATTTCTGGCAAAAACCACATTCAGGACTACCTTGGAAAGCAGAAGATAAAATATAGACCATGTGTAAATTGATAGAATACCTTGCGCTGTTTCTCCTTCATCTTCTTCCTCTTTCTGTTTTTCTTACCTTTTTTTTGGACGGATATTTTTACCTCTTCATCTTCAGCAGATTCCTGGAAAAACTTGTGACAAAGTTAGTCAGGCTTAAATACTTGATAGATCTTTTTGACATCTTCACAGAAATCACAAATCAAGAACCTCAGAATCACCAAAAGAATCCACATGCTGAACAATTCTTCCTCTACTTGATGTCCCACCTGTTCCATTTCCAAATTGTAAGAGAATAATTATGCTCTTATCACAATACTCAAATTTTACACCAACTAAAATAGCATGCAAATGAATGACACATCTGTAAGATGAATACTATCACTCATTGACAACTAATAAGCAACTTCGTATAGCATTGCAATCTGAAATCATATTCATACTCCTATTTATTGGTTTGGTTTCAGCAGTAACCTCAAATTGGATATTAAGTTTGAAATGCCTAATCAAGTAACACAACTTTTGACCTGAAACGTTCTATTGAAATACCGAGGAACATGTAACATGTATAATCTACCTCAGCTGGCCATATGGGCTCTAATATTGGTTTTCAGCATCCAATAATTGATTTTGTTAAGTTCGTAGTTGAGATGAATTCATGCCTAAGTTACACTTTTACACGGATTCAAATGCCACTTCTGTAAGATTAAAATCCTTAGAACTGTATATCTTTTTGAGCTGCCTTCTAATGGATGTTCCGGTTCTACTCAACTTGAAAAAGAGCTTACAATGGTATATTTGCACAAAAAATTGAATTCAAATACTTTTTCTTAATAAGGAAGTTAGAATTCTAATGTTACTTCAATTAGATCAGTTAATCCCTTTGATAAAAAAACACCTGCTATGATCACAAGGTTTTTCACAAACACGCCAATGTTTATTTGAAGAGGTCCAAGTTAATTACTAAGCTTGAAGTTTATGTCAGCTTTTGGAAAATAAATGACACTCAGTGACAACAAGAAAGCAAGTGTATACTGTACACACAGCTTCCAAATGAATTCCAAAAAAACAAGGACAAAGAACGATAAATCGAATGCTAATTTATAAGGATCAATTTAGGTTCCCTGATAAAAAATAATCACTAAAGACATGTTTATATTACTGTATTAAAATATGAACATCAAAGGACCAGAGAGTTCAAGGTATCATTTACAAGCCAACTTGGGAACTTAGTCTCCTGAATTACTACATGCATTGACCACTGTTTTGCACAGTAGTGCAGAAGGAGATAGATGATGCAGTCAGCAGCCGCCGGTATAGCATATTTTCTTTTGATGAAGTAAGTAGTGTTATGAATGATTAGTAAAAATTATGCATGATAGTAACATAGGTACAAAAGCGTTGAGTTTGTTAGCTCTATTACAAATTGGCGATGAGTCCTATGTGCGGATTAAGTATTGCATATTTAAATCTTAAAAGCATAATTTAAAACTCAAAAGGGTATTCAAGAATCTGTAGCACACTTGAACCTACAAAGAAACAGGCAGAACATTTCAAGTGTTCAAATGGGAGTAAGAAGTAATGATGTAATGAAAAATAGTAGTAATGGATAAAATCATTAACGCACACCCCAATCCACATGTCATTGGGCATATCAGGTAAAACACAAAAGGCTATTCAAAATTCTGAAGCACAATTTATGTGATTATAAAAAAACAGCAGAAAATATCAAGTTAAATAGCAAAAGGGAGCACCAGTGATGATTGGATGAAAAAGAGCAGACGTAAACAGCAGTAATTATAACCGTAGAGCATCTTATAAATGGCAGCCTGGCACACTAAGTTCCCTCTACGAGCCGAGGTTTAGAAAGGGCCAGACCAGGATAGGATCTAGGAGGGGCGAGGGTTTTCACCTCAACCACTCAGCAGAATATTTCATTGTATATATAAGGTTTTTTTTAGCATATATATAGATTTTGAATCCCCGGAACACACACAAGAACACACAAGACTAGGTTGGCTAGGGTTCAAAATTTCAAGTTCAGATCCTAGACACCATCCTTAGTGAAAATCCTCGATCACATCACATTGAGTCTTATAATGCAAGATTTGAAGTAAATATTGGGTATCATAGTGCATAAACACGTAGGTAAAGAAGAAACTAGAAGAATAAATGGAATGATAACAATAAGAAATCAAAAGAAAAGAATAGTACTGGCTTGAAGAGTATGTTTAGCATTATTGACGGCGAGTTCAATGAGACGAGGATCAAGAGATGACAAGCCGCTAGGGTCCTGCAATTTCCTGTCAAGAAATTTCGCTAAAGCTGCTGCCTTATTCGTCTTCATAGGTCCTCCTGGATGAGCCAGCCTGCAGCCACAAACCAATTAACCATTAACAAACTAGTTCAAAACCTATGTAATATCAATCCCATTCAGCTCTATATAACCTAGGTTGAGGACGAGAAGACGAAGGTGCAGAAGGTAGCGGTGCAAATTTGCTTCCACGAAGCGCCTTTTTCTCTTCTTCACTCAGTTGTTCCATCGCCGGAAACCTAAATTTTCGCCGGCGAAATTGATCTTCGTTCTTCTCACAGGGAAAAGGGAAACGCCAGTCTAGTTTAAAACGACGTCGTTCTGTGGTGCTATTTTTTCTTTGTCGTCTTTGTTAATCCGTTCCCTCTAAATCTGATTTAAAAATGTGTAAATTAAAAAATAATCTTATAATAAAATAATAAAGATATTAGTAGATAACAATAATTGAATGGCAAATTAATTAAAAAATAATACCAACACATAAATGAATATGTTAGATCTAAATAATCTAATAATGAATTTGTGTAGTAGCCTTGAAACAATGTTAGACAGAATTTGAAAATAGAAAGTTTTTTTTTTTTTCTTCTCAAAATTGCAAAATTTTATTATAAATATGGTTATATATCACGAAATTTTACATAATATTTTTTTGTCAAACTTACTCTATACTAAAGCAAGATATCCTCAAATGTATATCGACAAGATTCTCAACATATTTAATGATAAATAGATATATAAGCTTATCACATCGTTCATTTGACATCCAATTTCATATCAGATAAGCATTCTAAATTGAGATTTTTTTCTAATTAAATTGCTCTTACCGGCCTTATCACGAATATATAGCTCAATGATATTTTTGTTTAACTATGTTGATTAATACTATAGTATTTTTATTAAAGCATAATATTATCTGCATCATCAAGAATAAACCTATTTTTCAAATGGAAAATTATTTTATTTCTATTTTAATATAAGGTCGGTTGAAACTCTAATCCACTTACTATTTATACACTAGCAAAAATCTTGTTCACAACAACAAAGAAAAAAAAACTATTAAGTCAAACCTAAAGCTCTCTGAATAGGGACATAGACACTAAAGCCAAAAAGATTATTATATTACAATGGATGAAGAACGTAAAGTGAACCATATACTATTTTATTTTTTTTGTATAACAATTATATTTTGCCTGGTGAATTTAGACTAGTGATCTAAGTAAATTTTAGCAATAAAATATTAAATTTAAAATTATCGGTATTATTTCAAATCTATTGTTCTTTCTGCTCTAGTTTTGGTTTTTGAGGGGGTGCTTGAGAACAAAATCGAATCGTCTGATCTCCGTTGAAGGAATTGAAGCTTGAAAAAATGATAAGAAACGGCTTAAAAATCGGAGTAGAAGAGAGGAATAGAATAAAAATAAGCATTTCACAAACTTTTAACGACTGTATCACTCCATATATTATGTTTAGCAAAAAAATGTAAAAATTATACTACAAAATGCTTCTATAGGTGTCTAAAATAGTCAAGACCTACTTAAGATGTCTAACCGAAAATTAGCCGCCAATGAATTCCACCTAAGTAGAACTACATATTAACATGAGACAATTTCATCAATGTATTTTCATGAAAAAACTATTAACAAGTACTATGATTTATAATATACTTATCAATTTGCAATAACTATGACTTAATAACCTGACTTATTAAGGAAAAGATAAGACAACTGATCTTTAATCCTTTAGTAACTGTAATAAAAAGGAGGGAAACAATTGTGAAAATTTACATGCCTCAATTCTTTAGAGCCTAACATCCTAAAAGACCAGGCCATTATGCTTGGGGGCCAATCAATTGTATACACGAAAGAATCGGGTTTCGAATCCCCATGAATAATGGGGGGTGCACCATGAGCTATGAGCAACACAGATTTAAGCAACCACCATCAAAATCACGTCTATTGTCAACTCCTCTTTGATTCATCTACCCAAGCAAGAACTTGAAAATGTCACCCACTGATATGATACCTTCTACGCGTTTGCTTCCCGCTTCCACAACAACAAGCCGCCTAACCCCTGCAAACAATAGAGACAAGTTACTACTGCAGCACATGAAAAGACCAAAGGCCAAGTTTAAGAGAGTAAGAGGAAAGACCAGGTCTGGACAATCTTTCCATCACTTCATGCAACGAATCAGACTGTAAACACATGTGACATTTTTGACTGCTCAACCCATAAGTTGCATATGGTTCTTCTGCAAGTTGCAGTGCCTACAAACACAACCCTCAAAAATAACTTTAGAGTAATATACAAATGTAGCTTCATACCTAAAAATATTCACTTCTATAAGAAATATATGAAATTTCCACCCAGAAGTATCCCAGTGATTAGGCGTTGTTGATTATAGCAAAACAGACGGCCAAAAATAAGAATCTTTTTCTTTCTTTAGGGGTTTAGGTGAAAAGTAACTTCTTTTTTTGTGAAGCAAGAAACTATATATATAAAAGGCATCAAGAGGATGTAATACGTACAAAAGAGGGAAGGAGAAGACACGTTCCTACAAAAAGTGCTAAAATCTAGAACAAAGGAGCTGACAAAATCCAAAAAGTTAATAGGGCAATCTGCAAGGGCTAAATTTTGCCAACTATATTACCGTAAAAGACATCTAGCTTTAAGAGTGTGCGGGGAGTAGATTAGCCAGCAGCACATTTGTTGAAAGTAACTTTATTGAAATACCAGCAAAAGTGATTGCTGTGAAAGTTACACCCAACAGAGAAAACCATTTCATGCACTGAGAAACTCAACAGAGGCCATGCTAGAATTTACCACCTGAACTTAGAATTCTTACGACAGGTTCTGGTGGTATCCACTAGTTCAGAGACTAGCAAGAATTTTCTTATCCAGATGCAAAAATAATATTCTCGCGAGAAACTTCATTTCTGCTGGCATCCAGTTCAAATTGAGTTTCAGAATACTCTCCATGAGAAATGTAGTTCGAACACCTATCCAAGCAAATATGCAAGACATATTTGCTGATTTTTTAATTCCATTGAGTCATTTATTGAGAGAAAATAGCAACTCTGCCTATGTGAACAGCAAAGCCGGTTTCAAAAGGAGGGACACGGAAGGTTAATAGCCAGCATAAATAGTCAAATCATGGTGAATCGTCTGAGGGTACAGAGAGATCATAAAGCCAACCCAATCAGCTAATCCACTAGATGGGGACGGAAGCGTAGTTGCATCGACAATGGTCAGGAGGAAACTAAGGTGCAACTACGATTACACCTTCCTTGAAGGGAACCCTCAACATGCTGGTGAGAAGAAAGGTATAAAATCCCAGGCCCAGTAGTCAAATCCCTGAACTATACCTATTGAAGCTAGAAATATATATTTAAATTGAACTCACGGCACAGTACCTGATGAATACTCATTTCCTCAAGATTGATGTGTGTGTAGATCTTGTCCTTGGCCAAAGCTGTAATATCACTGCCAGCAATAGATTCAGGCATTCAGCAAATTAACCTAATGAAGGTCTACACACACTACAAAATATACAAGTTTGAATATGGAAAACAACTAATTATTTATAAACCTTCGGGAGTATATATCCAACAGGGAGTCGTTATCGTCAACAATGGGAATTGCACTAACTTGAGCTGCAAAGGGAACAAAAACATGCATAAGAGTTACAGACAGTTTATTGACTCACTAGCCAAAACCTATCACCATGTGACCAAATATCTTTAAGAATATAAATAGTGAGAACTCATATTCATCAGCAATAATAATGTGCTAATAAATTCTTTAGTTGGGAAGTATATTACTAACAACCATACTTGATCTTAACCAAAAGACTGAGAAAGGTATAACCTTGCACTAACAAATTCAATGCTGCATTCAGAGAAGCAGTAGGCCTCAGCATTGCCAGGGGTTGTCGATTTGGCTCTCCAATTTTCGGAACCCATGTGCCCAAAGGAATTGCACCAATTGGCAACTGAAGTATTGGTAACGACTCTGGAGAATGCTTGAAATACCTACAAATATCTGAAAAGTAACAAAGCTGTGAGCCACAATAGCAAGATTAGTAAAAACCCAAGAAAAATTAAAAGCTCACGTTTTAGTATATCAGAAAGAGAAGCAACATATAATAGCTGGGGATATGATCCATCCTGAGCTGGTGAATGAATTATAGGTACTGTAGCCACCCCATTTTGCAAAATTTCCAATGCCACATCCTTCAAGCTGTTATCTGGCCCTGACTACATTGAATAGTGGAAATCAAGACGTGGAAAAGAAGAGACTGACTAGCAATAGGTCCTAAATACACAATAGAAGTCCCTGATTCATAAACCAGGACAGGTGACCAAGAGAAGTAAAAGAAAATGCAAGGGACATCTTTAGCAGGAAAAGTGTCACAACAGCCAGATGCAACTAAACAAATTTAATCAACCAATCTCACATTAATACAGCACATAAGTAGTGATTAAATAGGCACAGGTGATGCTATTCTCTCTTGCAAAATCAGAAAAAATGTATGCAATCCATAGCAGCGAGATTGTGATGATCTTAGTAGGCTTTCATCATTTTCATTTTTAATCATCAAACTCATGATTGATTCCGAGATATAGGATACAGTAACAAGACGATATGAACTATTTGGTCTTATTATCTACTCTCAAAGAACCATGAAAGTGCAAGTTCTTATTCCCCAGGCAATCCACCCTCAATTGTATCCTATCAATTACAACTAAGTGTGGTTCAAATGCTTGGAGATTTCATTCAACCAAAATCTGTAGGATGTAGTTCCAGATATAGATGGCAAGACTACAGCAAGCACACAGATTCAGAGAACATCAATAAGGATTTTGAAGTGTTAACAATAACCGAAAGAATTCATCAGAACTGAAAGTCGAAGTCACAAAGTTAAATCAGCACTTTGCACACTGACATTTCGAGCAGGCCAAACAAACTCACCCAAACAAGTCGCCGTGGAGCTGATTTACCAAGCTCATTGGCTTGTCTGCTCAAGTAAGATTTTGCCTCTTTCCATGCAGATATAGTATGTGTCTCAAGCTCTTCCTCTGTCAGATTGGAACCATGATTCCCAAGCTGCGACAGGTCACGAGATTTTTTCACATTCAATTATGGGAGAAAAGAGCTAAAAAGATACATAATGTCTTTCTCAAAAACATATGAATAAGGGAATTACACCACAGATTCTCACGATATGTGATGCATGAATGATTCATCATCAACACCACAATGAAACTACAACTAAAACAAAAAAATTGCAAGAAATTCAACTACTTCCAGCAGCAAGTTTGCAGTAGATGTATCATGACATAGTGACCTAAAAGATTAACCAAGAAGAAA